TCCCGCCTTAGGCATGAAAACCAGCTAGGTGACTTTGGGCCAATCACCAGGAGACTGGGAGTTCTAGTCCCGCCTTACGCATGAAAACCAGCTGGATGACTTTGGGCCAATCACCACGAGACGGTGAGTTCTAGTCCCGCCTTAGGCATTAAAGCCAGCTGGGTAACTTAGGGCCAGTCCCTCCCTCCCTCCAGCCCACCTCACAGGGTTGTTGTGGGGGAAAATAGGAGTTGTATATAGACCCGTTTGCCCTCTTGAGCAATTTTTTAAAAAATATTAGTGCGCAGGCGAGATAGAAATAAATGCACAACAACGGAAAATAACAATTCTTCGGTGCGAGCTGTCGATTCTCACACCCTGCTCCCTCGACCTTACAGTGACCGGCTGACGTCGCTGTGCGAGGACCCGGGGGGGGAAGCCAGCCAGTAGGTGCCCTCAACCGAGAGGATGGAAGCGACCGCTCGGTCCCAGCTCTTCCTTTGTTGCAAGCCAGTTGTGTAAGGAGAAACGGGTGGCATGGAACAGTGACAAGAGTTACACAACCGCTGGAGAGTTTTGTCGTCCGTAAATTATTTCAGGTAAAGGAAAAAAACAAACAAAAACAGGTGTTTTTCCTTCTAACTCCGCTCTTATCTTACCTGTCTTTAAGCTTAAAAGATACCTGTCTGCAAAGGTAAGAACATAGGTAATCCTCGAGTTATGACTTGCCCCGTATTTCCGTGGCTAAGTCGTTAAGTGAGTCCCACAGTTGATCAGGTTATCCAGCTTCCCGAGCGTCTGAATTTTGACCACGTGATTCCGGGACGCTGCGACCGACATAAATACAAGTCGGTTGCCGAGTGTCTGAATTTTGACCCCGGGACACTGTAACCGTCATAAATACGAGTTGGTTGCCGAGCGTCTGAATTTTGACCACGTTACCCCGGGATGCTGCGACCGTCATAAATACGAGTCGGTTGCCGAGCGTCGGAATTTTGACCACATGATCCCGGGACGCTGCGACTGTCATAAATACGAGTCGGTTGCCGAGCATCTGAATTTTGACCACGTGATCCCGGGACGCTGCGACTGTCGTAAATATGAGTCGGTTGCCGAGCGTCTGAATTTTGACCACGTGACCCCGGGACGCTGTGACCGTTATAAATACGAGTCGGTTGCTGAGCGTCTGAATTTTGATCACGTGACCCCGGGACGCTGCGACCGTCATAAATACGAGTCGGTTGCCGAGCGTCCGAATTTTGATCATGTGATCCTGGGACGCTGTGACCATCATAAAAAAGAGTTGGTTGCCGAGCGTCTGAATTTTGATCACGTGACCCCGGGACGCTGTGACCGTCATAAATACGAGTCGGTTGCCGAACGTCGGAATTTTGACCTCGGAATATTTGACACATCGCAACGGGTTGGAACAAAAAAGTAATCTTTTGTGTTCCGGGGATTTTGGCCTGGTAATGGCCAGGATTAGGGTGAATTCCACGAGAATATTTCAATTTATATTCTACTGGGAATATTGAATTATATATTATGGATTGGTACTTTGTGTCTCTTTGCCAGCTATTTTAGCGAGAAGTAAAAAAAAGATTCTAGCTGGATTAAGATGTTTCCCTTTCCAAGGCAGGTATAGTCCTCGGCTTAACGACCGCCATGCGAAAGTATTCCTTGCTGAATTTGGCCCCCTTTTACGACCTCCCTGCCCACCGTCGCTAAGCGAATCGCGGCGGCTGTGAATGCGAGTAACCTAGTGGTGGAGCCAATCGGGCTCCCTTGTCGGAAGGTCACCAAAGGGGATTGACACGCTCATCCTTACCGACCGTTGCAGTGTGATAAATACGAGTCGGTCCCCAAGCGTATTCATTTTGATCCCGTGAATGCGGAGGGGGGCGCTGCAAGCGGTCGCAACGGGTGAAAAAAAACGGTCAGGAGTCGCTTTTTTCCCCCCCGCTGGCGTAAGCTCGGACGGTTCACTAAAGAAACTGTCGTAAGGTCGAGGACTGCTTCTGAGCCAGTCGCTCTTTCTCCTAAGGAACGCAGACCAAATTATGGGAGGAAATGCTTGATAATTTGAATTTGTTTCGGGTTTTTTTTTTTAAACTAAATGATGAAATACAAAGAACTACAATACAAACCTGGGGGGGGGGGGAAATACTATTGGATAATTATGCCCTGATTAAAATAACCTAAACGTGATAATAAATAAATTAAATAATGATGATGATGATAACAACAATAATAATAATAATCTATATATAAATAAAAATGTAAATGTTCGTTTGTTCAAAATCTTAAATCTCCGAAAGTTCTTCACCGATTGCTTTGAAATTTTGACACAACGTTGCATTCGAATACGTGTGTGTTTTTATATACCTACTATTATATAGATGTCACACCTGTGACAGGTAAAAACATGCTTTTTTTGAAAAACAGCGCCACCTGTTGGACGTAAAAGCAACACACGCTACGATTTTATGAGTCCATTTCAATGTTTCTGGTTTACGATCCATTTACGATTTCCAAATTTCCAATTTTACGATTCCATTTCAGTGTCTCCGATTGCATTGTTAAATTGAATTTTCATAGATTTTGATTTATTTTCATTTTGATTTAATTATTTCGTGTGACATTGCGTTGGAATTGAGCTGTGTCGCTTGCCATAGCGTTCATTTCGTGAGCATAGTTTACTTTTTTATTTTTTCATTGTTTTTCATTTAACCAGACTGAGCCACAGCAACGCGTGGCCGGGTACAGCTATAATAATAGTAATAATAATAATAATAATAATAATAATAATAATAATAATAATAGCAACAATGGTGCATTGGAAGATCTGCAAGAAATATCATTTGCCTGTAAGCAAGAACTGGTGGGATCATAAAATAGAGAAAGTCATAGAAAATGATAAAATTAAACTGCTCTGGGACTTCAGAATTCAAACAGACAAACACCCGCAACATAACACCCCGGACTTAACAATTGTCGATAAGAAAGACAAAAAAGTCTGGGACAGTGGACGTGGCAGTGCCTGGAGACAGCAGAATAGACGAGAAAGAACTGGAGAAGATCACAAAATACAAAGACCTACAAATAGAAATAGAAAGACTGGCAAAAGCAAGCAAGGGTAGTACCAATAGTCATAGGCACCTTGGGTGCAATCCCAAAACAACTGGAGCACCACTGGAACACCATCATCGGCATTGACACATTCGCCCTTAGTCAATTGCAAAAGGCGGCCTTCCTAGGAACTGCTTCCATCCTGCGATGAGATCTGTAATACCATCAAACATCCACATCTGCCCATCCCAGGTCCTGGGTAAGGACTCGATAGGTAGACAAAAATGCCAAATCCAGTCTGAACATCTGGCTGACTGTGCGATGATCAATAATAATAATAATAATAATAATAATAATAATATATCCCAGGTCCTTGGGAAGGACTCGATAGGTAGACAAAAATGCCAAATCCAGTCTGAACATCTGGCTGACTGCGATGATCAATAATAATAATAATAATAATAATAATAATAATAATATATCCCAGGTCCTTGGGAAGGACTCGATAGGTAGACAAAATGCCAAATCCAGTCTGAACATCTGGCTGACTGTGCGATGACCAATAATAATAATAATAATAATAATAATAATAATAATAATAATATATCCCAGGTCCTTGGGAAGGACTCGATAGGTAGACAAAATGCCAAATCCAGTCTGAACATCTAGCTGACTGTGCGATGACCAATAATAATAATAATAATAATAATAATAATAATAATAATAATAATAATAATAATAATATATCCCAGGTCCTTGGGAAGGACTCGATAGGTAGACAAAATGCCAAATGCAGTCTGAACATCTGGCTGACTGTGCGGTGATCAATAATAATAATAATAATAATAATAAAAAAAACAAAACTATAATACCGCTAAAGGACCCTAAAAAGGGAGAAGAAAATCTGCATAAATTTAAATTTTCCACTCAGCAACCCAATAAACCACACGGTCTGCTTCAGAGTTTGGGTGGATTATTTTGTATTTAAATTGTATTTTGCAAATAAGGCCTTGGGGGGGGGGGAATGTTAGACCATCAGCTGCCTGTTTTTTTATTCTCCCCCCCCCCCCCCTTGGCATTTATATCAGACTATATTCAAAGCCCACATCTGTGTGAAAAATAGGCAGGCCCTTGAGGCGTTAAAGAATCAACCGGAATAGACCTGGGGGGGGGACCTTAGAGGTCATCTAGTCCAGCCCCCTGCTCAAGCAGGTGACCCTTACAGAATAATAGTTGGAAGGGACCTTGAAGGTCCTCTAGTCCAGCCCCCTGCTCAAGCAGGTGACCCTTGTAGAATAACAAGAGTTGGGAAGGTACCTTGGAGGTCCTCTAGTCCAGCCCCCTGCTCAAGCTCTTTAAGACTCTTTAAGACAGGGGTCTTCAAACTGGGCCCTTGTGTGACTTGGGGACTTCAACTCCCAGAATTCCTCAGCCGGGAGGCTTTAAGACAGGGGTCTTCAAACTGGGCCCTTTTGTGACTGGTGGACTTCAACTCCCAGAATTCCTCAGCCAGAACGCTTTAAGACAGGGGTCTTCAAACTGGGCCCTTGTGTGACTGGGGGACTTCAACTCCCAGAATTCCTCAGACGGGAGGCTTTAAGACAGGGGTCTTCAAACTGGGCCCTTGTGTGACTTGGGGGACTTCAACTCCCAGAATTCCTCAGCCAGGCAGGCTGGCGGAGGAATCCTGGGAGTTGAAGTCCACCGGTCCTAAAAGGGCCACGTTCGAAGTCCCCTGCAACAGGATTGGTCTGTTTTTCTTTCTTTTTTTTAAATGAGCGAGTTCCCTTCTCCTAGCACTGACGACGTTGCCTAAACGTTTGACAACCGCCGAGGCTCCGCACGGCTACGGGCGTCCTCTTTCTTTCGACAACTCCTCCAGTGTCCTTCTCTCTCTCTCTTTCTCTCTCTCTCTCTCTTAAAGAATTCCCAGATTTCTCCCCCCCCCCCGGATGGAGTCCCGCCCGCCGCTCCCTCTCCTCCCCGAGCAGAACTTGGACCGCGAGGTCAAGCAGAACATGGCCGAGCTCTCCCTCTGGACCGTGGTGGCCGCCATCCAAGCGGTGGAGCGGAAAGTGGACTCCCACGCCAGCCGCCTGCTCAACCTGGAGCGGCGGGTCATGACCAACGAGAAGAAATACGTGGACTGCGAGAACGCCGTGGTGGACTTTGGCAACCAGATGGAGTGCAAGCTGACCGCCCTGGGCACCCTGATCCAGGAGTATGGGCTCCTCCAACGCCGGCTGGAAAACATGGAGAACCTCTTGAAGAACCAGAACTTCTGGATCCTGAGACTCCCGCCGGGCGCCAAGGGGGAGACGCCTAAGGTCAGAGGATGGGGACGCGGGCGGCTGGGTTTTCCTCGCGGGGAGCGCTCCTGGGAGAGGCATGGAAGAGAGTCTCGAGACGGGCTGCTTTCTTTGCGGAGGTTTCTGGACCAGGCTAGGGAATGGCATCAGTGCTAGAACGGAGGAGGAGGAGGAGGAGGAGGAGGAGGAGGAGGAGGAGGACTGTGGGGTCCCTGGTGCTCTCTGAGCGGGGGGCGATGTTCTTGCAGACATCTCTGGACCCAACCAGGGAACATCATCAGTGCGAGGAGGAGGAAGGAAGGAAGGAAGGAAGGAAGGAAGGAAGGAAGGACAGACTGTAGGGGTCCTTAGTGCTCTCTGAGCTGGGTGGTTTCCTTGCAGACGTTTCAGGACCCAGCTAGGGAACGGCATCAGTGTAGGAAGGAAGGAAGGAAGGAAGGGAGGAGGAGGAGGAGGAGGAGGAAGAAGAAGAAGAAAAAGAAGAAATGCTGTGGGGTCCTTGGTGCTCTCTGAGCTGGGTGGTTTCCTTGCGGACATTTCAGGACCCAGCTAGGGAACTGCATCAGTGCAAAAAGGAAGGGGCTGTGTGGAGTGGAGGAGGAGGAGAAGGAGGAGGAGAAGGAGGAAAAAAAGAAGAATATGGGGTCTTTGGCGCTCTCTGAGATGGGTGGTTTTTCTCGCAGATGTTTTGTGATCCAGCTAGGTAACTTCCATCAGTGCTGGAAGGAAGGAAGGAAGGAAGGAAGGAAGGGGAAGGGAAGGGAACATGGGGTCTTTGTCCCTCTCTGGGCTTGATGATTTTCTTGCAGATGTTTCGTGATCCAGCTAGGTAACTTCATCAGTGTTAGAAGGGAGTGGGGTTGAAGAGGGGAGGAAGAGGAGGAGACGGGGAGGGGGAGAAGGAGGAGAGAAGGAGAAGACTCTGAGGTCCTTGGTGCTCTCTTGGTGGTGTCCTTGCAGACCTTTCATGACCCAACTAGGTACCATCATCAGTGCTAGAAGGGAGTGGGGTGCGTGAAGAAGAGGAGGAGGAGGAATATGGGGTCCTGGGGGGCTCTCTGAGCTGGGTGGTTTTTCTCGCAGATGTTTCGTAACCCAGCTAGGTAACGTCTTCAGTGCTAGAAAGGAGGGAGGAAGGAAGGGAAGGGAAGGGAAAAGAGAGAAATATGGGGTCTTTGTCCCTCTCTGAGCTTGATGATTTTCTTGCAGATGTTTCAGGACCCAGCTAGGTAACTTCATCAGTGCTAGAAGGGAGGGGGGTTTGTGGAGAAGAGGAGGAGGAGGAGGTGTGTGACCCTGGAAGCAGACAACGATTGATTGCTTTTGTGAGTGCCTGTGATCATCAAAGCAGCCGTGTCATCCCGGAAAAAGATGGACCTCTTTTAAGAGAGGACAACCCATCACATCTCCTGCCTTCCATGCTCTGGTGGGTCGGGTGGGTGTAATTGGGAAAAGACGGTCCTTCAAGTCACAGGGAGGGCGCCAACACGGAGAAGGCCCTTCTCTTGAGTCCCACCAGATGGACCTCCTTAAGAGAGGACAACCCATCCCATCTCCTGCCTTCCAGCTCTGGTGGGTCGGGTGGATGTAACTGGGACGAGACGGTCCTTCAAACAAAAGCCATGTAGGACTTCATTGTTGACCAACCAGCACCTTGAACGCAGCTCCCTCAAGAGAGGTGACCCGTATCCAAATCCCTACTATTCCCATGTATCTCCTCCACCTGCTCTTATTCCGCGGAGCCACCTCGGTTCCATTGGGCTTTTGTCCAGTCCCACCAGTTGTGTCTGAGACCTTGGCTGGTTGAGCATTCGCTCCCATCCCGTCGTTGATCTTGGATCTTGAGTTGAGTTCGGCGCCACCTGAAATGTGAAGGTCGTCGCTAAATCGATTTAGCGGCGCTTTGAATGGCTGGTTAACCTCTGTCGGACAAGACGTTCTCCTAGATGTACGCCTCCCACCCCTCATAGCTGAGATGGAGGACCATCTTGTCCCTCTGAACAGTGCTGAGTGTGGAATCCGCGGTGATCCAGCTGGTCACCAGCGGCTTGATCGAGAAGATCCAAAGCCCGTAACTGATGTTCTTCCAGGTGCCCGTGACCTTTGAGGAGAATGCCGTCTACTTCTCGGAGCAGGAGTGGAGCAACCTGGAGGAATGGCAGAAGGAACTCTACAAGAACGTGATGAAGAGCAACTACGAGTCGCTGGTCTCCTTGGGTAAAAAATCAGCTTTTTCTCCTAGTGGGTTTAAAATGCAAAGCTTGGCTTCTTTGATCAGCGCGGGAGAATTGTCTCGATCGGAGGTCTCCAGCCTTGGCAATTTTAAAAGTGGTGGACCTCAACTCCCAGAATTCCTCTTTAATTTCCAGCCAGCGTGGAAATTCAGGGAGTTGAGATCCACAAGTTGTCAAGGTTGGAGACCCCTGGCCTAGGTGACGGCCTCCCTCCAGATTGGTCCCTAAAAGTTCCTCAGGAGAACATCTGGAGAACATTGTGGAGACTTGTGGACCTCAACCTCAATTCCTCTCTTAATTCCCAGCCGGCGTGGCAATTCGGGGAGTTGAGGCCCACAAGTTGCCATGGTTGGAGGCCCCTGGCCTAGGTGATAGCTTCCCTCCAGATTGGTCCCTAAAAATTCCTCGGGAGAACATCTGGAGAACATTGTGGAGACTTGTGGATCTCAACCTCAATTCCCAGCCGGCGTGGAAATTCAGGGAGTTGAGGCCCACAAGTTGCCACGGTTGGAGACCCCTGGCATAGCTAACGGCCTTCCTCCAGATTGGTCTCTAAAAGTTCCTCAGGAGAACATCTGGAGAACATTGTGGAGACTTGTGGACCTCAACCTCAATTCCTCTCTTAATTCCCAGCTGGCGTGGAAATTCAGGGAGTTGAGGCCCACAAGTTGCCACGGTTGGAGACCCCTGGCCTAGGTGACGGCCTCCCTCCAGATTGGTCCCTAACAAGTTCCTCAGGAGAACATCTGGAGAACATTACAAGACAGCCATGATCTTGTTCCGTCTAGTTCTCCTCTTTGCTTTCAGTTTCCTTTTGAGATACCATCCTGGCTTGTTCTCGTTTAGACCAAGGGCTGGAGACAGCGAGGGTCAGAACGCTCTTCGACTCTTTAAAGATGTCGAGAAACTCACAAATCAGGAGGACCTGCTGGGGGCAACGGAGCGTAATGTGAAATTTGACAAGCCAGAGATGCGTTGCCCATCCAAAATAATTTTTCACGGCGTTTTTCTACAATGTTGAAATTGGATACAGTTTTGTAAAATGCAATTCTCAGCGTATCGAGGGATAGATTTCTAGGGTGATCGGAAGCCAAAGACATGCTGGTTCCTCCTTTGTGTACCTGAACCGTCTTCTCGGTTCCTGTCGGATTTTTCCCGTAGGGTTAGATTTTATTTCATTTTTAAACGAAGTGGGATGCTGCCAGCCCCATCTTAATTTTAAGAACACCGCTTAAGAACAAAACAGAGTAGTTGGCTGAAGTACAGGTCGTCCTCGACTTAACGACAGCTCATTTCAGTGACCGTTGAAACCAGCACTGACTTAACGACCGTTTTTCACACTTACGACCTTTCAATCATCCCCACGGTCACGTGATTGAAATTCAGGTGCTTGACAACTGACTCCTACCGTGTTTCCCCGAAAACAAGCCCTAGATTGATTTTTTGGGATGGGCCTAATATAAGCCCTGCCCCCCCAAAATAAGCCCTACTTTTGGGGTGGGGCGCACGCCTAAACATCAAGCTGAGGTGGGGAGGTGGAGCTGCCCCACGCACCCCGCACCCACTTATTTTGCAGCAAGGCCCCTCCTCGCTGGCCCTCTTTTTCTGCGGCGTACCCCAGGCCTGCCTTTTGCACCCGTAGCTCGGTTCTGCAAGGCCTCCGCAGCCGAGCACCGAGCTATGGATTGAATCCATAACTCGGTGCTCAGCTGCAGAGGCCTTCCGGGAAGGCCTGACTCTGAAATGCAGGCCGGCGCTCCATTCTCAGCTACAGAATGAAGCTCCTCCTTCGGTCGCAGAAGAAATGAGCCGGCTGGGCAGGGGCTGTTGTTGCCGGAGGTAAGTGGAAAAGGACCCCCCCCCAAATAAAACCTGGTCCCTCTTTTGGAGGCAACCCCCCCCAAACAATAAGTCCGGGTCTTATTTTTTGGGAAACACGGTACTTATGACTGTTGCTGTTAGGAATTCTGTTTATATATAGTACCACAGAGCAAACAAAGGGTACCATCACCATGTGCTTTACTGCTCAACTGTTTTTAACGGTTACAGGAAGCTCAACGTAGAACGAAGCGGCCTAGAGTATATACAGTGGTGGGATTTAGCCGGTTCGCACCGGTTCTGGAGAACCGGTAGCTAAATTTACCTGAATTCAGAGAACCGGCTGGCTTCTAGAAGTCCAGTCTAAGCCTCGGAGGCTTCCCAGGCCTAGAACGGCCCACCAGAAGTGCATGGATACCACTTCCGGAAGTCCATTTTAGGCCTCGGAGGCCTGGAGGAGACCTCCCAGGCCTAGAACAGCCCACCGGAAGTGCGTTGATGCCACTTCCGGAAGTCTTTTACGCATCGGAGGCCTCCCAGGCCTAGAACGGCCCACCAGAAGTGCATGGATACCACTTCCGGAAGTCCATTTTAGGCCTTGGAGACCTGGAGGAGGCCTCCAAGGCCTAGAACAGCCCACCGGAAGTGTGTTGATGCCACTTCCGGAAGTCTTCTATGTATCAGAGGCCTGGAGGAGGCCTCCCAGGCCTAGAATGGCCCAACGGAAGTGCATGGATACCACTTCCGGAAGTCCATTTTAGGCCTCAGAGGCCTGGAGGAGGCCTCCCAGGCCTAGAACAGTGCACCGGAAGTGCGTTGGTGCCACTTCCGGAATCTTCTACGCATTGGAGGCCTGGAGGAGGCCTCCCAGGCCTAGAACGGCCCACTGGAAGTGCACATAATAGAACCGGTTATTCAGATATTTGAATCCCACCACTGAGTATATACCATAGAGCCAAACTGGCAAACACCGCCACCTCCTGGCTGAATACTACCGTAGTTGTTCCCCAAAAATACATTCCCGCAACGAATTCCGACAGCTGCTGTGTCCCAGAGGTCGTAAGTCCAGAACTACTTTTCGTTACAAATCAGCCTCGCGTTGCGTATCCGACGGTTGCAAAGGGGTGTGCTTTTTCTCCGACTAGACTATGCCATCGCTAAACCGGATCTCCTTTCCCGGATCGAGCAAGGCGAACGTCCCTGCGCCGAGGAAGAGGAGGCAGCGACGACGGACAGGGTGATAACTTCAGAGCCCAGCCCAGGTAAGGAGGAAGACGGTAGAATCGGGGGGGGTCTCCAAATCTGGCAATTTTGTGGACTTCAACTCCCAGAATTCCTCAGCCAGCATCTCGGCCCGGCCCAGCTCGCCGGGTGCAAAACAGGAGGCAGGGTTGTTGAGTTATAGGTAGTCCTCGACTTAACGACCATTTGAAGTAACGGCAGGCTCGCCAAAGGATGCTTACAATCCGGTTCTGAATAGACAGATACACACATTTGCATTTTGGGCAACCGGTTCCCGGCCTGGGTTCCCATGACCCACATTTACCCATGTTTTCACCCCAAAATCGGCGTTTACAGGCAGTCCTCGACTTACAGCCGTTCATTTAGCGACGGTTCGTAGTTACGACGGCACTGGGGGAAAAAAGGGGGAAAGTTTTTCACACAACCGTCACGGCATCCCCACATGATCCAACTCCGGACGCTTGGCAACTGACTCGTATTTATGACGAGTCGCAGGGTCCCCTTTTCTGAACAGGAAAGTCAACGGGGGGGAGGGGAAGGCCAGATTCGCTTAACGACCGTGCGGCTAACTTAACAGCTGCAGTGAGGCAGCAAGGAAGGTCGCAAAATGGGGCGCAAAGCTCACCCGACAGGTTTCTGCGGTCGTAAGTCGAGGATTACCCGTAAAGGAATATCTTTTTAAGCGCCTGGGAAGTTCGCCATTGAGTTGAAGCCACAAAGTCTCGCCGGGGCCCGATCCTCCCGCGAAAATCGACCTGTTGTTGTCACCCCACGCAGAAATCCTAGTTTTTAGACCCTGCCTCTCCTCCCCACCGGAAGAAGGGGGTCACGCGCATGGGGGCCGAGAAGGGGAACCCAGGGAAGGACGGAGGGTCCCACAGATGCCCAGCGTCGGTAAGTGGAAGCTAACCACGGTTGAATATTTGGCAGATTGTTCGGCGTCGGCAGCCCCAGTGACGTTTCCGGCCAACAGAATCTTGCCGAATACAACCGTAAAATCTTTTTCTTTTTTCCGGCTTTCCGTGCGACGAAAATCTGCTGGACGAGTGAGAATGTAAAGAAACGGAATCGGAAGAAAAAAAAACACGTTCCGTTTTTAGGGAAACCTTGAACACGAAACGTAGCGTAAGGCAGGCCGTCCTCAGCTCACGACGGTTCATTTTGTGAGCGTTCCAATGTGGCGACGAGAGTGAAAGAAGCGACTTGGGATCGTTTTTTTTTTCTACACTGAACGACCGTCGCAGCGTCCTCTCCCGGGGTCATGGGAAAAAAATTTCACGTAATTTTCAGGCTGTAGTGTGGTCATACATTGAGGAGTCCCTGGAGTTGTTTGGAGATAGTCAGATGCCTGATATCATTTCTTTCATCTATTTATCATATCTATCTATCTATCTATCTATCTATCTATCTATCTATCTATCTATCTATCTATCACCTGTCTGTCTATCTCTGTGTGTCTATGTCTGTCTGTCTGGCTATCTATCATCACCTGTCTGTCTATCTTCTCTGTATTTATCTCTGTCTGTCTGTCTGTCTGTCTGTCTGTCTGTTTCTATCTATCTATCTATCTATCTATCTATCTATCTATCTATCTATCTATCTATCTATCTATCTATCTATCTATCTAATCACCTGTCTATCTTCTCTGTTTATCTCTGTCTGTCTGTCTGTCTGTCTGTCTGTCTGTCTGTCTGTCTCTATCTATCTATCTATCTATCTATCTATCTATCTATCTATCTATCTATCTATCTATCACCTGTCTCTGTCTATTTATGTCTGTCTGTCTGTCTGTCTATCTATCTATCTATCCACATACACACAGACACTTATCTATATCTATCTATCTATCTATCTATCTAATCTATCTATCTATCATCTATCTTCCATCTGTAAGGACCCTCCCCAGCTGGTCCCTCAGGAAAGCCAGACTCTCGACTCCTCCCCCTCCTACACAACGGCAGAACACCTTGGCGGACCAGGCAGCCCCCAGCCCGCCCCACCATGAACGTCCCTCTTGTCTTCTCTTTGCTTGAACAGACGACGGAGTCGCCCAGACGTCCTTCGGCTCCCAACGGAAGCGAGATCTGGAGGGGAACGCGGAGGGCCCGGACCTCTCGGAGAAAAGCGAGCTGCACCTCCCGCCGAGCATGGGTGAGTAAGTCGCCGGACCGGACCACCTTGCCTTGCAGTCTCCGAGATGCGAGGACAAATCCCGCCCGCCTTTCCGTTTGCGTCCCTGTATTTTTTTTTCTTCGTCGCTGGATTTGAATCCTGAGCCAGTTCCCAGGTTTCTAAACTGAAACCCATTTTTTGGGGGAGGTCATTTGAACCCAGAAAAACCTGGATACAGGCAGTCCTCGACTTAACAGCCGTTCGTTGAGTGACCAGACTTTCCACAGCCTTGAAAAAAAAAGCGACTCATTTCCCAGACTTGGCGACCGTCACAGCATTCCCCCCGGTCGAAATTCAAGGTCGAAATTCAGATGGTTCCTATTTATGACAGTCGCAGCGTCCCGCGGTCGCACCTGGTCCTCTTTTTGCGACCTTCTGACCAGCCGGAAGCCAGATTCGCTTAGCGACCGTGGTTCCCACCCTTAGCGGCTACCGAGATTCACTGGACCACTGGGGCAAATGGCGCCCAGCCCACTTAACCCCTGTCTCGCTTAGCAATGGAAACATTAGGCTCAATTGTGGTCGTACGTCGAGGACTACCTGTATTCCGCTCCAGCTTCTGTGTGTGTGTGAGGGGGGGCTGTGTTTACACACACGCGTGCACACACACACACCTATTCACACATCCCTGAGAAGACTGTCCACTCTGGAGGGTGTTTGATTATCGATGCTTTGAGGCTTGTTGTGGTTTTCCTCTTCCCAGCCTGCAGACTTTTTCTTTTAGGTGTCACCATGCACTTCGTTCTTTCAGTTTACCCGTCCGTTTACTGCTGATAGCGGCCTCTGGGGCTTGTGTAGAGCAGGGCTTTTCAACCTTTTCACCCATTGTACCACTTTTAGGATATGGCAATATCCAAGTACCACCAGTCGCCTAGCAAGGTGTCAAAAACTTGATGACCCCCCCCAAAAGGAAAAAAAGTGATAAAGTACAGGTAGTCCTCGACTTACAACAGTTCACTTAGTGATTGTTCGAAGTTACAATGGCACTGAAAAAAGTGCCCCCCAAACCACAGCCGAGCAAGACACCTGCCTGCCCACCCGGCGGCGCTTTTCCTCCTGTCCGAGGTTTTCATTGTTGTGAGCGTTTCTGTTGAGGATTGGCAGCGGGGGTGGGGTGGGGGGACTGTTTGGTTTTTATCCCCCTGTCTGCTGGGTGGTTGCAGCAGGTTTTGGTCACTTCACAGGACCCTGGGACACCGTGACCGTCATAAATATGAATCGGTTGCCAAGCATCTGAATGTAAATCACAGGACCCTGGAGATGCTGCAACATTCCGGCTGATCGGCGCTTCTTCTGGGCTCAGCAGAAGTGCCAGGATCAGCGCTGAGCTCCAACTGGAGCCTGGCGCTGATCCTGGTGCTTCCGCTGAGCCCTGACAGCCCCGAAGAAGCGCTGATCCTGGCGCTTCCGCTGAGCCCTGACAGCCCTGCAGCTCCAGCCGTCTCTCGCTCAGGCTTGTGCGGTGCTGCTACCAGTTCAGCCCACTTTTCTAGGATGGTCGCGTACCACCTGCCAGGTGCCAGTGTACCACAGGTGGTACCCGTACCACTGGTTGAAAAGCCCTGGTGTAGAGGGCAGTCGTTCTTTCCTGCTGCTCTGCAGGCTATTTTCCAGCCTCCCTCAGTGAGCTCCCCCCCACCCCCCCACCCCGATCCACATCTCCCCTTTGCGTTCCCTTGATTGGCATCTCTCTATCACTCTGTCTCTGCGGCGCGTTGCCAGCTTTCTCCCGTTTTGGGTGAACTCTTTGCGGACACTCCGGATGCGCTCGTATCCTCTGGATACAGGGAGTCCTCGGCTTAACAACCATCTTCTTAGTGACCTCTCAAAGAAAAAAAAAGTGGCTTTTAACAACCGGTCCTCGCATTTGCAACCGTCACGGCACCCTCTCGGTCGCATGATCAAGATTCAAGCGGGTATTTATGACGGTTGCAGCATCCCGGCATGTGTGTGTTGTGTGTGTGGGGATTCGCCATTTGGCCACCTTGCCAGCTGGCTTCTGAGAACCGAACGGGGGAAGCCAGATTTGGTGAATGACCACATGATTTGCTTAACAACAGCGGCCCGCAAGGTCATAAAATCAGTAACAACGGAACAATCACCTTGCTTTGCTGCAGAAATTCTGCTCCCAATCAGAGTCGTAAGTTGAGGACTATCTGTGCAGGCTAAAACTTTCTGGGGGGGGAGGGGGTTCTGTGTCTCGCAACGGTCCGTACTGGGAAGCTAGCCCCAATCCGATGTTTAGAACCTGTCTCCAGAGCTGTCTACGGAGATTTTTTTCCATCCACCAGATCCCGGTTTTTCACAAAGGTGCTTTTTCAAAAGACAACTGGACTTTTCATGGCTTTTTCCCTTAAAAACATATTGCTTCTCCTCCGAGAAGAAGCAGTTTCTTGGAGGAGAAGCGAAATGTTTTCAAGGGGGGGGGGAAATCAAGAAAACTCCAGTTGGCTTTGGAAAAAGCACCTTTGGGGCGTCTCCAGAGGTGTGGCCATCTCCCTAACCCAGGGGTCCCCAACCTCTGGGCCACGGCCCGTTACCGGGCCGTGGCCTGCTTGGAAGTGGGCCACACAAGTGGCGGGCAAGCGCACACGTGAAGCTCTCTTTTGTGAGCAGTGGCCGTTAGCGCTTGGGCACGCAGCTCCTTTTGCAAAAGTGGCAGTTGCTTGTGCTGACGCGCGAAGCTCCCTTCGTTCGAGCGGTGGCCGTTAGCCCTCGCGCGCACAGCTCCTTTGCGAGACTGGCGGCCGCTTGTGCTCACGCGTGAAGCTCCCTTTGTTCGAGCGGTGGCCGTTAGCCCTTGCACGCACAGCTCCTTTTGCGAGAGGTGGCCGCTTGTGCTCACGCGCAAAGCTCCCTTCGTTCGAGCGGTGGCCATTAGCCCTTGCGCGCACAGCTCCTTTTGCGAGTGGCGGCCGCTTGCGCTCACACATGAAGCTCCGTTCGCGCGGTGGCCGTTAGCCTTCAGATGCGCAGCTCCTTTTGCAAGATTGGCGGCTACTTGTGCTCACGCGCAAAGCTCCCTTCATTCGAGCGGTGGCCGTTAGTCCTTGTGCACGCAGCTCCCTTTCCAGCAGTGGTGGTTACTTGTGCTCACGTGCAAAGCTCCCTTCATTTGAGCGGTGGCTGTTAGCCCTCGCGCGCACAGCTCCTTTTGCGAGAGTGGCGGCCGCTTGTGCTCACACGTGAAGCTCCGTTCGAGCGGTGGCCATTAGTCCTCATGCGCGCAGCTCCTTTTTTGAGAGTGGCGGCCGCTTGTGCTCGCGCGCAAAGCTCCCTTTGTTCGAGCAGTGGCCGTTAGTCCTCGTGCACGCAATTCCCTTTCACGAGTGGTGGCTACTTGTGCTCACGCGCAAAGCTCTCTTCGTTTGAGCGGTGGCCGTTAGCCCTCGTGCGCACAGCTCCTTTTGTGAGAGTGGCGGCTGCTTGTGCTCACGCGCGAAGCTCCCTTCGTTCGAGCAGTGGCTGTTAGGTCTCGCACGCACAGTTCCTTTTATGAGAGAGGCAGCTGCTTGTGCTCATGCGCGAAGCTCCCTTCGTTCGAGCGGTGGTTAATCCTCGCACGCACAGCTCTCTTTCCACAAGTGGTGGCTGCTTGTGCTCACGTGCGAAGGTCCCTTCGTTCGAGCGGTGGCCGTTAGCCCTCACACACAGCTCTTTTTGTGATAGTAGCAACTGCTTGAGTTTACACGCAAAGCTCCCTTCCCTTGGGCAGGGAACGTTAGCTCTCACGCGCGCAGCTCTTTTTGCGAGAGTGGCGGCCTCGGGCTCACGTGCGAAGCTCTCGTCGCACAAGCGGTGGCCGTTAGCCCTCAAGTGCGCAACTCCCTTTGCGAGAGTGGCGGCCACTTCTGCTCCTGTGCGAAGCTTCCTTTGTGTGAGTGATGGTCATTAGCCCTTACACGCGCAGTTCCCTTCGTGTGAGTGCCTGTCGTGTCCGCCTGCCGCTCACGCAAACGGAGCTGCGTGCGCTTGCATGCTCCCACCTGCCACTCAGAAGCAACTATCCCCTCCCCACCCTCCCTCCAGCCCACTGGGCCAAGCCAGAAAAGTTGGGGACCTCTGCCCTAACCCTCAAAAGACACACGACAGATGATTCGGTTACATTGGAAGCTTTGATGTTGATATGCAGTCCGAGTGGACGTACTTCCACTTTATGCCCAGAGTAGTGTTTACCTTCCCCTCCCCCCCACTTGGGGTTCTTTTAGGCAGGGCAGAACACATGAGGATGGAGGAAGGAGTGGGTGTGCGTTCCCAAGAACAAAACAAAAAACAAAAAAAACCCCATCTAGTTATCTGGGTTTACGTCAGACGCAAAAGAACCAGCCCGACGCCGTGAGCTGAATTCAAGTTGCTTCTTGATTGCTACGTGCCTGTTTGCAAGAATCTCACCAAACTGATAGCACTCGCATGGGAACAGGCAGAGAAAGGCTTTGGGTATCTTAAAGGGGGGAGGGTCTCTTTCCACCACCCGCCACTCTAGCTGGAGATCCCACCCCACCTTGAGGAGCAGAGGATCCCCCTTCCCCACTGCTCAGTCCTGCAAATTTCACGGGACAACGCTGAAGCTGCTCGGAGTTCACATCGGTGGTCGGGAAGGGACCGTGTTTGCTTTCTGGCTAGGGGTGAGTCTCTGCCGTTCCTTGCTAGCCCACTGCCCCTTCTCTTGGGGTGGCATCTGAGCTATTTTTGACGTGGTTTCGCTGCTGAGAGGCTGTGGTTGAGGGAGAATCCCTTGTCTTGGGCTGCTTTGGCTATCTGTGGAACCTAGATTTGGGTACAGTGGTCCCCGAACGTTTTCCACTGGGAGGGCCGACGTGAGTGTGGGGTCTCCCCACCCAGATCCCACAAAGGAACATCCTTTGCCTGTAATTTCCCCTCCTCTGCCATGCTCTACTTCCTTTGTAAAATGTAAACCTTGATATCTTGGTCCCAGGATGAGTCATCGAGTCTATCCTAATCTACTCATTCAATTTGTAATTTATTACATTTATACGCTGCCCACCTTGCCGTCAAGCGACTCTCACAATAATTACAGCCAAAAGGAGATTGTCTCCATTGATGCATTCAGACAGCTTCGTCCTAACCTCCTACGCTGGAGGTCCCCAACCCCTGGGCTGCGGCCGTTTTGAAACGGGGCTGCGCGAAGTGGCGGGCCAGTTCCCCTCTCCCCTCCTGCCAAGCCGTAAAGATCGGGGACCACTGTGCTAAGCCACCCACCCCGTCCGTCTGATTTGGGAGGGGGCAACCGATTCCTTGGACCACGGAGCAGGACCTCCGGGCGTATCCACAGGGCGGAGCTGGTGAGAGTTGGGAGCCCCGGAGGCTGGCAGAGGCCAGAGGTGACGGCCGAGATTGAGATCCTGGAGATTGGGCAAGGCTGGCTTAGAGACCACCTGGACAAAGAGCTGGGAGGGGATGAGCAGGTTGGCGAGCGGCGAGGAATAGCTGGGAAAGCAAAGAACTTCACGTAAGGACCAACGGAATCCCCTTCCCGTTTGGGGCTTTTTCCCGTAGGTGTCTCGGAGCGGGGTGGGGACAAAGGAAGGCCACGTTGTTTCCCTCCCTCTCTCCCTTTCGTCTTCCCATCTTCAAGATTTGCTCAAACGCGCGACGATGGTGATTGACCTGCTTGTCCTCTGATCTGGAAAGACAGGTCACGTTCCCGGACGGGGTGGGGTGCGATGATCCAGGGTGAGGCAGGCAGGGTGATCCCCCAAGATGCACCCTTTTATGCACCCGGCTGTAAAGTGAATCCTTGATAAATTACAGGTAGTCCTTGACTTACAATCGTACTGACGTCTGTGGAGATTCTCAATCCTCCAAGTCAGAGTTGTTTTCTTGTTTTTTCCAAAGGGCAATTCGACCTCCTTTGGGTTTTGTTTTTTTGTTTCTTTTTTTTCCTGGAAAACATTTGACTTCTCATCTTCCCGTTCGAAAGCTTCTTCGGTTCTTCGGTCTCCTCCACAGCCGAAGAAGCTTCTTGGATGAGAAGCGAAACTCTTTTTTTGAGGGGGGGGGGAGGAAAAAATAAATCAAGAAAGTCCAGTTGCCTTTTGGCCAAAGCCCTTTTGGGATAATCCCAGTGATGGTTCACAATGAGGGCAGACCTACTTACGCAACCCGGCCGCTGCGGCATCTGTGCAGCCATTCACTCTTAACCCACTGCAGGAACCCTACAGCATCCTCCCCCTCCCCCATTCTTCCCCCTGCAAACCTTGGGTCTGCTTCCCACCCGATGTGGTCCTACGTCCTCCTCCTCCTCGATTATCTTTCGACGATCTCTGGAGCTCCATTGCTTAAGTCAGGGAAAGAGGCCTGGCTGCTTCATTGGCTGGGCCGTGTGGCGCGATCCAGGAAGCGGTTGCTGCCGTGAAACGAATTGTGGGTGCTCCGAAAATGCAGCTGCTTCTGGACGTGCGCCTCGCGGCCCAGGAACAACGCAACCTGCTTTGCTTCGCCGATGCGAGCTGTGGAGATCTTCGAAAGTTAAGTGGACAACGGGGTGACTCTTGGTGAGGAGGAGGGTGTGGGAAGCGTAACACGGGGCGCCTCCGGTTGCGGAGGGCCTTGGTAAGCCTGGAGCAGGCCTGTGCTGGAAGTCCCAGGGCCGCCCCGGGTACCGCTGAACAACCCACATGGTGGTTTAATGACCGCATCCTGGAGATCAAGAGTCATAAATGAGGCGAGCGGGTGGGCGCTTCCCTTAACAATCATGCAGGCTCCATTACGGTCGTTGAGTCGAGGACTGCCTGTATATCCAACCACTCTTGAAAAACAAAAGTCCCGGTGGTAAAGGGAGCTTCCGGATGGTTGGCCGAAGTGATTCCCCGCTGGGTTAGCAATCTTTTAGAATTCAAAGCAGCCCATCCCCGTCCCCTTCCCCCCCCCCAGAATTGGCTTCCATTCTTGAAAGGAGGCGAGCAAGGAAGGGCTGGTTGGCTTCTTCCCATCGTGCACAGCCAGATCCGGCAGCGTTTCCTTCTCGCCAAAGGAAAACAAACCACCATCACCACCGGGCAGGAAAGACAGAGGCTGGGTGGCCTTGTAATGTGGCATGTAGGCAGGTGTGCTGCAGCAAGGCTGGACCGTGGAGGGGGTCTTCTGGCCGTGCACCACGAGGGTCCCTCCTGGCCCAATTGACCAGGACAGCCCGCTGGGGTAGAGGAGGCCGTGTCCGTTGGAGAAGCATGACCCCATGACCTTTTCTTTCAATCCCCCCAGATGACGGGCTGGCCTTCAAAGCCGAGGTTCTCCAAGCTCAGCGAGCGCTGTGCGAAAGCTTGGGGCTCAAATGCACGGACGAGACGCTCCTCCACACTCACCCGCAAGCAGCCTCCGTCGGCAGCCGCTACTCCGCATTTGTGCAGCAGCGAAGGCACGCCGAGAATCCCGGACCAGAAGAAGAAGAAGCCTTGCCCGGCGAAGGTGGTTTTGGCCCTAGTGGCGGTCTGACCATCCCGACGGAGCCCCGCCACTGCCCGGAGGACAAAATGTTTGCTTGTCCTGATTGCGGGAAACGCTTCCGCCTTTACAAAAGCCTGGCGTCTCACCAGAAAAGCCACGGCGCCCCGCCGGCGTCCTGCGAAAAGAGCTTCACCTACAAGCAGCAGTTCACCCTGCACCAGCATATCCACACCGGGGGCGGCGGGTACACCTCGGTGGCCTGCGCAGAGACCTTCAAGCAAAGCCATAATTTGAAGCCCCTCCCTCGGGGGCCGGGTGCGGACAAGCCATACGGCGGCGCCAAGTGTGTGAAGACCTTCAACGTCAAGTCCTCCTATCGGCAGCACCCCAAGGGTCATGGGCGCGAGCGGCCATATCGCTGTAACCGGTGCCCGGAGAGCTTCTCCCAAAAGAAGAGCCTCGTCACGCATCAGCGGCTGCATTCCGGGCGCGGCGGCAGCTCCCTGGCCTGCCTCTACTGCGGCAAGAACTTCAGCCATCCCTCGGACCTTGTCCGGCATCAACGCATCCACACCGGAGAGAGGCCCTACCGTTGCGACGAATGTGATAAAAGTTTCACCCAGAAACAGCATCTTCTCCAACATCAGAAAATCCACCTTCGGGAGCAGAACAGGCTGATGGGTACAGCTGTCCGAGAAGCCCTGCTTGACGCCATCTTCATCTAGTCCGGCCCTGCGGGGACACGCCAGGCTACCTCAAGAGCAGACTCCCCCTCTCTATCCCGGAGATCAGAGTTCCGGAGACGTCGCAGCGGGGACCTTTTTCTACGGGGTGTCTTTCTGAACAATGCTTGTGAATGGCGAAAGCTAACCAAAAGGGGTAGTAAGCAAGCACTTCCAGGATTGTTGTTTCGGTCTTCTTTGCAGTGTACAATACTGTAGGCGTTGTGTTGTCCCCTAACCACAAAGGTCTCCATGTCAAAGTTCTCGAAACGGGGGGGGGGACTGTCCGGAGGCGACCTCTCGGTTCGCCGGTGGGCGAACGCTAATGGGTCTGAGCGGAACACTTCTTTCTTTTTTTTTAACGTATATTTTCTGGATTTCTTTTTTTTTCTTTGTTGTTCTGTGGAAACTGAGAAATAAACTTAGAGATGTGAAGAAATGGCTTTGTGTGCTGCCCTTGTTTCCTCACCCCCCACCCCCGACTGTGGATCAGAGTTCGGGGCACGTGTGTTAATTTTTTTGATCGTGTCAAAACTGCCGAAACAACCGAGAGCATCTTATAACTGCCCCCAAAGCCCTTTTCCAGAATACATTAAGAAGTGGTTGATTCTCCAAATGCTTTAAAAGACTCTGATAAATGTATTTTTAAAAAGAAATGGAAAGAATTTAAGGAACACTGTCCTTTTGGGGGGGCTTAAATTAAGCCATAACGTGTCTTAGCCCTAAACAAAACACCATTTTTTCCTACTGATGTTTTCACGCTACCAAACACGGGATGGTTTGGCCTGTTCCAGTGAAACCAGTTATTCTGGTTTGTCCTTCTCAGAGGGAGCCACAGTCCTGGTTGCATCACTTGCTAAACAAGCCATAAATTCTTTCTTCGGCTCTTTGAAGAAATTAGCCAAATTGCCGGGATCTTCTGGTTCAACCCAAACTAAGCGAGGCACGTGTGAGTGGCAGGGTGACGCCAGCCAGTCAAATAATAATTGCAGATCTGTTAAACTGTCGTTGGATTAATCTTTTTATGTGCGGTAAAATATTTATATCCGTAGTTTGAAAAAGTCCAAATGCCCAGGTCGTATTCCATCAAAACTGGTGGTCCTTTAAAAGCCTCTGGTGTCCATCTTCGTTGTCGGCCCCGGGGGACGAGAGACAAATTCCTAAATCAACTGGGGCTGAGTGTCCCACTTGCTTGGTGGTTTTCTTGCAGACATTTAATGACCCAGGTAGTGAACATCATCAGTGCTAGAAGGAAGAGGGGGTTGTGGGGAGGAGGGCGACGACGATGATATGGGGTCCTAGATCCTCTCGTGAGTTTGGCTGGTTTTTTGTAGACGTTTCATGACCCAACTAGGTAACATCATTGGTGCTAGAAGCTTTCTAACGTAAGCCTTTTGGCATTGATGATGTTCCCTAGTTGGGTCATGAAACGTCTGCAAGAAAACCACCAAGCTCGGAGAACGCCAAGGACCCCATAGTCCTTCCCCCTCCTCCTCTTCTTCACACACCCCACTCCCTTCTAGCACTGATGATGCTACCTAGTTGGGTACCCTCCTCCTCCTCCTCCCTCTTTCAATCTGGGTTTATTTCTTCACCATCTTTTTCCTTTTTTTTGTTTTTTTGTAATTGTTACTTGTTTCCAAACGTTTGACGTCTTTTTAAACCACTTGTAAACCGGCCAAAGTCGCTCAGAGTTCGGCGGCCTGTCAATTCAATAAAATTATTTAACGGTGGTCATCAAAACGATCCGTCCTAGCCTGAGAATTCCTTCAGCTGTCCTCGCGCGCCACCATCCGTGAAAGCCAAGCACGGGGACCCAACATCCGTGTGAATTTAGGAAGCCTTTTTCGCTTGTATTCGCTTGACGTGATCTGCCTTCAGCTGGGTGCTATCCGTGTCTCATATATGAGAGAGAGAGAGAGAGAGTCATTTTGCGAAAGCTGCCCCCAGAACCGGTCGCTCAAAATCATCTTAAACGTGGAATGAAATGTCGGTCTGTTTTGCCTTCATTCCCAATTCTTCTCTACGGTCTTTTTGGTTTTACCACAGAGTTTTGGGGTTTTATGTAGAGTCCCATCGACTTCAAATCTCTGTAAGGATCCCCAGCATTGTTTCTCAGAAACTCGTTAAGTCGGGCGGACTTCAACTCCCAGAATCCCCCAGCTAACCTGTAAGGGAATTCTGGGATCTGGAGATCGTACCCTTGAAAGTCGCAGAGGTTGAGAAACGCTGATTTAGACTACCTGGGAAACAAAGATATTTTTTTTTAAAGATGACAGGGTTCGGGGGCCATATTTCTCAACTCTGGCAATTTCAAAACGGGTGGTCTCCAACTCCCAGAATTCCCTGAGCTCCCAGCAGAATTCTGGGAGTTGAAGCCTACCCACCTTGGAAGTTGTCCTGGTTGAGAAATCCTGGTTTGGGGGAATGTGCTTGTGCGTTCCTTATGTGTGGTGGGACCAAACCATGACGAATGTTGGGTTTATGCTGTCCTTATTTCCCGCAGCCCTTGCGACAAATCACGTCTTAATCAAAACGGAGCCAGAGGATGACTCGGAAGGCCATGAGACCTGGATGATGCCGGGAGAGACATTCGTGGAAAGGATTATAAAGAAAGAAGAGGATTTCGATTCCTGTCTGTGGCCGAGAGACACTCCAGAGGAAACGGCCAGTGCCAACGAGGGCAGTCCATCGGAAGACGTCCACCGCAACTGCCAGATTGGCCGCCAAGAGCAGCCGCAAAGTTACGGCGGTCTCACCTCTCCGGGACGAAATCTCTCCTCCCCGCTCATGAATGGAAGCCCCCTGATGCCCCCTCAAGAGACGGGACATCAGCCGGGAGAGGAGCTGTGGGCTTGCCCCCTGTGCCACCAACGCTTCCGGCTCCACGTCCACCTGCTGCTCCATCAGAACACCCACCGGGAAGCGCCAGCTGAGCCCGTCCCCAAGGACCTGCTGGGCTGCCCCTACTGTCCCCGGCGTTTCAGCCGCTCGGACCACTTGCTCCGTCACCAGATGAGCCACACGGGCGCCCGGCCTCACCAGTGTCCGGCCTGCGAGAAGAGCTTCACGGACAAAAGCAAACTGACCAATCACTTCCGGACCCACACGGGAGAGCGCCCCTTCCACTGCACGGACTGCGGGAAGCACTTCGTCCGCCGGCATCACCTGGCCAAGCATCAGCGCACCCACACGCGGGAGCGGCCCCACCAGTGCCCGCTCTGCCCGAAGAGTTTCATGCAGAAGCACCACCTGCAGAAGCACCTCCGCACCCATACGGGGGAGAAGCCCTACAAGTGCGGCCTCTGCCCCAAGGCTTTCGCCTGCAAGCAGCGCCTCCTGCAGCACTGCTGCGCCTTGCCTCCGGCGCCTCCCTCCGAAACCGCCGGGCGGCCCTTGGCCCTCCTGAAAGGGACGCACGCTTCCTGATCGCCCGGTGCAACAGGGACTATGCCCCAGCTCACCCTCTTTTAGTTCAGCTCGTCAGTAAATTCAGATGCAGAAGTTGAACTCTCTGGGGGGGTGTCATCAAGGGATGGGGCTGAGCTCCTGTTTGTAGCCTCCCTTCTTGGTGGATTTTGTTCCTAGGGGAATCGGGCTGACGATAGTTCTGTTCAGCTGGAAAGAAAAAAACGTCGATTAGCCCTTGAAGGTCCCGAGTCAGCTTTTAATCAGCCCTTGAAGGTCTCCAGTCAGACTTTGATCAGCCACCGAAGATGCTGAGCCAGCCGTTGAAGCTCTTGAATTCGCCTTCGATCAGTTCTTGAAGATTCCAAGTCAGCCTTCGATCAGCTCCGGAAGATCCTGAATCGGCCTTTGAAGGTCCCGAATCAGCCTTCGATCAGCCGTGGAAGGTCCTTAGTTGTTGATGGGCAACGTGCTGACTGATCACCTTCGTCTTCATTCGGTCTGTGACCAACTCTTGTGTTTCATGTTTTAGAAGGATGTGGAACTAGAAGCAAATGGGGGCAGAGGCTATTTTATTTTTGGAGGCTTCCTTGGTCATGAAGATGTGGATATTTTGGAGGCTCGTCGTCGTGAAGATGTGGATATTAGATCAAGAGAGGAATTGGGCCCCGTTTGTCTTGGACTCTGTTTTGGCTTCCCCAGCCAGATCCTGGGCACGTCTGCCCAGAAACCCAAGTTTGATAAGTGGAAGTTTGATAAGTGGAACGGCTTGCCTCCAGAACTTGCGGATGCTCCATTGCCGGAGGTTTTCAAGAATAGACTGGACCTCCATTTGTCGTGAAAGGTATCAGGTCTCCTGCTCAAGCAGAGGTTTGGAGGAGAAGATCTCCACGGCCCTTTCCAACTCTGTTAAATTCTGCAATTCCTAAGTAAAGACAGGACGAGACAGGATTTCGGTTGGATCACTGCTGGGCTTCCCGAATCCCCTGCAGGTTTTTTTTTCCTCTTATTTTGAGACTCAAAAGACCTCCGGGAAGACACCGTTGTATCTTGGCTGCTGGGGTCACCTCCGAGACCGTTGCGGGAATGTGGTTGTCGGGATGGGGGAGAGACAGAGAAGGTAGACGAGAAGGAGAAGAACCCAAAGGGGTGATCGGACTATCTTGCTTTTTCGTTATGCTCGATTTGTATGCTGTTTTATAAGCTCTTGTTGTTATGCCTTGGGGAAAAAATCCCCGAAAAGCTGAAACTTGGGGAATGGGTGGCTGAAAGAAAAAGAGTTCTTTGCTTTCTTTTTTTTTCTTTTTTTCTTTTTTTAGTTTGTGTAACGTCTCTGCTCTGTGCTCCCTCTTTTCCCTTGATTAAAAAATTATAATGAGCTCGTGCATGCGAGGAAATGACACACACAAACATACATACATATACATATACATACACGCGCACACACACACACACACAGACACACACACACACACATGCAGGTCTTGGCGTATTCGGGTCTTTTCCCGTGTAAGATTGAGAGTATCTTGGCGACGTTTCGACGAGGTCCCACTCGTCATCTTCAGGCTGGGGTCTTCGGCTTCGTGCTTGTGCGAGCAAAGTGTGATCGGAGCTGCTGTCTCTCTATAAATATTGGTGGGGGTGTCTGGAGTGCTGGCTTTGTTGCTATAGGTGGGTTGGTTGGTTGTGTTGGACTTATTGTTTGCAGATTGTTCGGCTGTTTCGTAACATCCTGAGTAGCTGAGGTGCTGGCTGTGTGCCCATTAGTCTTTTGTGTTGTAACAGCCCATTACCCAGGTCGTTACAACACAAAAGACTAATGGGCACACAGCCAGCACCTCAGCTACACAGGATGTTACGAAACAGCCGAACAATCCGCAAACAATAACTCCAACACAGCCAACCAACCCAGCTATAGCAACAAAGCCAGCACTCCACACACCCCCACCAATATTTATAGAGAGACGGCAGCTCCGATCACACTTTGCTCGCACAAGCACGAAGCCGAAGACCCTAGCCTGAAGATGACGAGTGGGACCTCGTCGAAACGTCGCCAAGACACTCTCAATCTTACACGGGAAAAGACCCGAATACGCCAAGACATGCATACATATATATATATATACACACACACACACACATACATACATTACATACATATCCCTGAAAGTTTGATAAGCTGTAATATATATATATGCAGAAGGGAGGAGGGCTGTGAATTTATTCGGGTGGCCCGATAAATATAATAATAGCAATTGCACAACACGTGGACAGACGCCACCGTAGTTTCAATTGAGAGACTTTAGCGTTTTAGACGAAGCGACGTCTCAAAAACGCCGGAGAAGTTCTGGTCCTTCGGCACTTGGAAAAAAAATCAGCCGTTGACATGGCGGGTAAATGACATTTACCCGCCATTCAAAACAAACAATCCAAAAGCTGAGAAGGAAACGAGGAGGTCAAAACAATCGACACCCAAATAAGCAGAGATCAACACCAAGATTAATAGCAGAGCAAAACTCAAGCGGTAAACAATAGTCTAATCAAGGAACGAGCGGGAACACTCCCAGCAACAATGACAGGGCAAGGCACTGTATATAAACAAAGAGCAACCCCCTCCCTTCTAACACTGATGATGTTACCTGGTTGGGTCATGAAATGTCTGCAAGAAAACCACTAAGCTCAAAGAACACCAAGGACCCCCGAGTCGTCGTCCTCCTCCTCCTTCTCTCCACAAACCCCTCTCCCTTCTAGCACTGATGATGTTACCTAGTTGGGTTATGAAATGTCTGCAAAAACACCACCAAACTCAAAGAACACCAAGGACCCCAGAGTCGTCCTCCTCCTCCTCTCCACAAACCCCTCTCCGTTCTAGCACTGATGATGTTACCTAGTTGGGTCATGAAATGGCAAGAAAACCACTAAGCTCAAAGAACACCAAGGGCCCCAGAGTCATCATTGTCCTCCTCCTCTCCCCAAACCCCTCTCCCTTCTAGCACTGATGATGTTCACTGGTTGGGTCACGAAACGTCTGCAAGAACACCACCCAACTCGGAGCTCACCAAGAACACCCACAATTCAACCCAGCTACAAATATTCTAATCTTTTTATTTATTTATTTATTTATTATTCGAATTTGTATCCCGATAATTTTGTATCCCGATAATTTTGAAAGCTGTAAAAAAAAAAACCCCGCAGGAAATGGGTACACGGGACCCGTGCGTCTTCTGCCAGGCAGACGTTGGGTTGGGTCCAAACGCAGCCCGTGTGGCTTAACAGGATGGTGTGAACCCAGGCCATTGTGTTTTCCCAATTGCTTTAATTGTGTTAACTTGGGGGGGGGGGAAGCTGGTCCTGCCACGTCTCACCTCACAAGCTGGCATGAGCCGCTGTCAATCTTGCCGGGTACCAATTCTACCAAGGTTTGTGAACAGGCTAATGTGTCCCAAAATGCTACCTTGAAATTGACAAGATACCCAAGCAGTGCCACTTTATTAAATAATGCTTGGGGCTAAAGGCATCCAGAGGCTAGCCGGTCAATAATTATTAATATTAAATAGTCCTCAACTTACAACAGTTTTGTCTAGTAGCCATTTAAAGTTACAATGGCCCTGAAAACAGACTTGTGACCGTTTTGCACACTTAACAACCGTTGCAGCATTCTCATGATCAAAATTCAGACGTTCGGCAACCGGCTCCTACTTATGATGGTCACGGTGTCCCAGGATCGCTAATTAAAATTCAGACGCTTGGCAACCGACTCATATTTGTGACGGTTGCAGCGTCCCCGGGTCACGTGATCAAAATTCAGACGCTCAGCAACCGACTCGTATTTATGATGGTCGCAGCGTCCCGGGGTCAAAATTCCGACGCTCGGCTACCAACTCATATTTATGGGGCACACAACTCACCAAACTGCCTTGCTGAGCCCATTGAAAGTTTGAGCTCTGTTGTGGGTCTACCTATAGTTTGCCCGCGGACCCCCGAATACTTCGGCCATGCCATCCGAATAAACAAAGGAATTTTTTGAAGAGAAAGAGAATTCAGCTAGAGAGGGACAAAGCCGAAAGAGAGGAAAAATTCACTGGCTCGAAGTTAGAGAAGGGGAAAAAAATCACCTTGCCAGATTTGGGGACCATGGGTGCCGACGGCTTTGGGGGTGCCGCAAAGAAGAGGCAATAATTCCTGCCTAGTGGACTTTTTTTGGGGGGGACTCTTGCTGGAGGATCAATGTAGTATATTAAATACAGGGAGTCCTCCACGTACGATCACAATTCAGCCCGGAAGTGAGAAATCGGTACAAGTGAGTTTTGTCCCATTTTACACATTTGTTAAGCGCATCGCTGCAGACCTTAAAATTAGTCACACGGTCGTTAAGCAAATTGGGCTTCCTCTCGACTTTGCTAGTGAAAAGGACGCCAACGGGGATCACGCGACACCCCCCCACCGGAACACGGCAACCGTCATAAATACGAGTCAGATGCCAAGCGTCTGAATTTTCATCACGTGACCCCGGGACGCTGCGACTGTCGTAAATACGAGTCGGTTGCCGAGCGTCTGAATTTTGATCACGTGACCCCAGGGATGCTGCGACCGTCATAAATACGAGTCAAATGCCAAGCGTCTGAATTTTGATCACGTGCCCCTGGGACGCTGCGACCGTCATAAATACGAGTCAGATGCCAAGTGTCTGAATTTTGATCACGTGACTCCAGGACGCTGCGACCGTCATAAATACGAGTCAAATGCCAAGCGTCTGAATTTTGATCACTTGTCCGTGGGGATGCTGCGACGGAGGTAAGTGTGAAAAACAGTCCCTTTTTTCCAGCGCTGTTGTAACCGCACGGCCGCTGAACAAACGGTCGTAAGTTGAGGATTACCTGTACAGTGGAGAGATACAATGCGGCTGGTCATTCAGGATTTGGGGAAACTGGATCGGACGTCCAGTGGCTGGAAAGGAGTGGGGGGGAAGGAAAGAGGGACGATCCTGGGGAGGGGGGTGGAATCTGCTTCAATTTAGAACTAAGGAGAAACTTCCTGACAGTGAGAACAATTAACCAGTGGAACCACCTGCCTCCAGAAGCGGTGAATGCTCCAATACTGGAAGTTTTTAAGAAGAGACTGGACAGCCATTTGTCCGAAATGGTGTAGGGTTTCCTGCCTGAGCAGGGGGTTGGACTAGAAGACCTCCAAGGTCCCTTCCAACTTTATTATTATTACTAGCTGTACCCGGCCACGCGTTGCTGTGGCTCAGTCTGGTTAAATGGAAAAGAAGTGTGTTGCTTTTACGTCCAACAGATGGCGCTGTTTTTCAAAAAAAGCATGTTTTACCTGTCACAGGTGTGACATCTATATAATAGGTATATAAAAACATGCGCGTATTCGAATGCAACGTTGTGTCAAAATTTCAAAGCAATCGGTGAAGAATTTTTGGAGATTTAAGATTTTGAACAAATGAACATTTACATTTTTATTTATATAGATTATTATTAAGTTCATCCCCTTTAAGACGGGTGGAATTCTGGGAGTTAAAGTCCACCCGCCTTAAAGGGGACGAGCTTGACAGATTTACTGTTTTTAGTGCCTAAGGGGCCCAGAGGGTTCTTATGACATGGACCCCCTAAAGGAGAGTGTCGTGGCTTGCGCAAACAATGTTGGCTTGAGGGGTTGGGAGGAAGCCAGGCAACCAAGGCGTTGAACGTCAGACTTTCCTTCAGGACACATTCTGGCCTGCCTGTTGCACGGTGCCACTGCCCTTCAAAGGGAGTCTCCCTCTAGGACAGGGTTGGCTCCGAGGGTGCAACAGGACCAGCCCTTGGAGACTGTCCATCTTGATCCCCTTCCCCCAAACTCTGAATGCCACCGGCTCATCCATGCCTAGATCCCCTTGGTTGTTAGCGGTAGGAGCCACCCCTGGCATCCAGCTGCCCTTCCGCGAAGGGAGGAGGCACGGGTGTGGATTCCCTGTCTGGGTTCACAAGACCCTTTTGAAGCCAATTAAACTGCAGCGGCCTCCACAGGGACTCTACTGCGGAGAGAGGTTTCACGTGCTGCTTGCTTCGCTTGTTTGCGTGGACCGATTCCTGGCATGCTATGGACCGGCAGGTTGGGGGGGGGGGACCCCTGAATTAATGTGGTAGATGGAGTACGATGCAGCGAGCCATCAGGAGGATCTGGACAGACTTGAACACTGGGCTCTATCTAACAAAATGAAATTCAAAGGTGAAAAAAGTAAGGGTCTACATTTAGGCAAGAAAAACCAAATGTACAGGTATAGTATAGGGGGTACCTTGCTCAATAGTAGTAACTGTGAGAGAGACCTCGGAGTCCTAGTGGACAATCATTTAAATATGAGCCAGCCGTGTGTTGCAGCTGCCAAAAAAGCCAACACAGTGCTAGGCTGCATTAACAGAGGGATAGTATCAACATCAGGTGAAGTGTTAATACCACTTTACAATGCCTTGGTAAGGCCACACTTGGAATACGGCATCCAGTTTTGGTCACCACAATGTAAAAAAGATGTTGAGACTCTAGAAAGAGTACAGAGAAGAGCAACAAAGATGATTAGGGGACTGGAGGCTAAAACATATAAGGAACAGTTGCTGAAATTGGGTATGTCTCGTTTAATGAAGAGAAGAACGAGGGGGGACAGGATAGTAAAGTTCCAGTATCTCAGGGGCTGCCCCAAAGAAGAGGGAGTCAAGCTGTTCTCCAAAGCGCCGGAAGGCAGGACGAGAAGCAACGGATGGGAACTAACTAAAGTTCTAAGGAGAAACTTCCTGACAGTTAGAACAATTAACCAGTGGAATAACCTGCCTCCAGAAGCGGTGAATGCTCCAACGCTGGAAGTTTTTAAGAAGAGACTGGACAGCCATTTGTCTGAGATGGTCTAGGGGAGGGGTAGGCAACCGTGGCTCTTTTATGACTCGTGGACTTCAACTCCCAGAATTCCTCAGCCAGCATGGCTCAGCTTGGAAACCTCTCCCTTTCCCTTCAGCTTCCCAAGAAGCTTCTTCAGCTCTGAGCAGATGGTGGGGAAATGGAAGGGTCATTTGCCTTCTTTTAGAGGGCCATTGAGGCCACTTGGGGGTTTATCTGTGTCCTTAAGGTGTGGCGCCTTCTTGGATGCAGGAGGGACCCAGGGCCGAAAGCATCCTGCACACCCATTTGCACCACTCAGGCGACCCTGAGGACACAGATAAACCAAGTGGCTTCAACGACTCTCTAAAAGAATGCAAATGACCAGGTGTCTGCAAGGAGTATAAATCCTTCCATTCCCTACCATCCGGTCGGAGCTGAAGAAGCTTCTTCGATGAGAAGGGAAACATCTTCAATGGAAAAAATGACGGTGGGGAATGGAAGGATTTATACTCCTTGTAGATGGCTGGTCATTTGCCTTCTTTTAGAGAGCCGTTGAGGCCACTTGGAGCTTTCCCTGTGGTCCTTAAGGTCACCCGAGTGGTGCAAATCCGTGCGGAGCCTTCTTGGCTGCAGGAGGGACCCAGGGCGGAAAACATCCAGTAGCCAATAAGGCTTCACCCCCATTGGCACCACTCAGGCGACCCTGAGGACACAGACAAAGCTCCCAGTGGCCTCAACGGCTCTCTCTACAAAAAAATGCAAATGACCGACCGTCGGCAAGGCGTATAATAATTCCTTCCATTCCCCCCACCCCATCCAGACAGAGCTGAAGAAGCTTCTGGGATGAGAAGCGAAACGTCCTCACAGGAGAAACAAGAAAGTCCAGTTGCCTCTTGAAAAAACAACAACAATAACAACAACCACCATGATTTGGAAGCTTGAGAATCCCCACATACCGAGGAGATCCTTGAATTAATGAAACCCAGCAGCGCTTTAGGCGGGGCTTTTTCTCCTCTCCTTCCGGCCGCCAGGGCGGCGCTGCCGAGCTCTCCGAAAGAGACGCTCTTTCTCGGGCGCCGCCTCGACTCGCTGCCCGGGCCCGGCGCATGCGCAGCGGCGTGGCCAGCCTTCCCGAGTGCGCGGCGGCGTTGCGGCAGTCGAGACAAAGGCGGCCCCGCGGGAGCGTCGGGGCGAAGCGGGGGGGGGGCGCATCCAGGTAGCGCAAAACGGGGCGGGGGGGAGACCTGGGAGGGGTCACGAATCCCGAGGGAGGGGGGTCCCCTCCCGGCGCTCTGCGGATAAGTAACCGGGCGCCCTTCAGCTGCTTCCCAGAATCCTCCGCGGTGGGCAAGGCGGGGGTGTCTTTTGCCAGCGCCGTTCCCTAAACGAGGGTCCTCCGCCGCCCCCCCTCCCCTGGCTAGATGAACTGGGGGGGAGGGGGTTCCCCTGCAAGATCTGCCCCACCCCCACCCTAAAAGTCCTGGAGGGGGGCTCTTCTAACGGACCTCGAGGGAGCCCACCTTCCTTTGGGCGGAATCCAGCGGGCGCGCCCCTGTCCGATTGCGCCTAGCGTGGCCTCTCCCGGAAATGCGCGCGTGGGTGGGGGGGAAGGAAGGTCCCCATTTTTGGCTGGGAATTTCCCCCTCCCCCCCTTGGAGGGTCGGTCCTCGCTTTTGCGTCCGAATCCAGACCTTTCCCCTCCCCCCTCCTGCGCTTCTCCCCCCCCTTTTGGGAGCCTTTTTGGGGGGGAGGGGGGGGAACGTCATCCCAGCATTTCTGCCTCGGGTGGGGCTGGACTGGAACGTCTTTCTCCTGGAGAAAATTGGGGAGGGTCCGGTCGGTCGTTCAACGAGGCGCCCGGAGAAAATTGGGGAGGGTCTGGATGCCCGTCGCAATGAGGGATCCAGCCAAGAAAATGGGGGGGGAAAAAAACAGGTTCATTTTTTTTCAGCCTGCCTCTTTTTTTTCTCTCTCTCTCCTCCATTTGCAAACAGCTCAAAGGTCTAAGGTCTCCCCTGGGCTTTTATTTCTGCCAGACTTTCCACCTTCGGGTTATTTGCCGACAGGAAAAAGGTACGTATTGTTTGTCCGTGGGGGTTTATATCCTGCGTGGCCCAGTTTTTCCCTTCAACAACCCTGTAATGTAGGCTTGGGTGAGTGAGTGAAGTTGAACCCAGATCTCGCTTGAGCCTTTTTCCGTCACTTCAGTTGCACCGGAGACAAATTCCTTGTGGGTCTAATCACACTTGGCCAAATAAAATGTTCTGCTCTAGTTTATTAAACAGAGCATTCTCAAGTCCTTTGCCGTCGTAATGGATGGCCAATGGGAATTGTAGTCCCCTGGTCTTTGGGAGCACTGATGGTGGGGGGGGTCAGATGATTAAACTGGGTTGTATTTTCTGAGTGAAGAGAGTTAGAAACTGGATGTGGGGTTTATGTGGCCACGCTGTTCGTATGCCTTTTCGAATGCTTCTCGAATGTTAACGAGCAAAGGTCCAGCCATGAGGACTAGAAACTTTAAACGGTAAGAATTGGAAAACGCAGGGACCAGGCTTTGATGACTTTAAGCTCCTCAAGCAGAATACAGGTAGTTAAATCTTAGCAGCGGGTGACGAGTAGCAGAGTTGAACTTTGCAATTCTTGAAACGATGCGGGTCTGAATTGGGCGGAGAAGAGTTTGGGTGCAAATTCCTCTTTCCTTCTAGCCTGGAAAGCGCGCTGTGGGGTGCAAGGCCTCCTTCCTGCCTTTAGAGAGATTTAAACCGGTGTGCGATGGGGATATGAAGGTCAGGAACTCGGAAGCATCTGCTGGGTCCGTCATGTCTGCCGGAGAAGCCAAAGAGGCCGCAATGGAGTCCCCCAATGCCCAGTTGCTCCATCTTGAGCAGAGGATGGTGGCGGCCGAGCAGAAGTGGATGGGCTGTGAGAAAGCCGTGATGGAAATGGGGAGCCAGCTGGAGAGCAAGCTGGCCGTGTTGGGGACCATCTTAGAGGAGAATAGCGTGTTGCAGCGGAGGTTGGAGAACCTCGAGAGCCTACTGAAGAACCGGAACTTCTGGATCTTGCGATTTCCTCCGGGATTTAAAGGAGAAATCCCCAAGGTAATTCTGTCCCACTGAAGTGTCCTGATTCAGAGCAGAGTCGGGACTCTGCAAGGAACGGTTTGGGAGGAGGCTACAAAGCGTGACTGGGCTTGTAAATGAACCATCAGCAAAAGTTTGGTTCTACTTTGAGCCTCACAGCTCAGCCTGAGAGATAAATTCTATGGCATTTCAGTTAGCTGTATGGTTTTTATCTCCCCCAAATTACAACGAGAAGCCATGGTTTCTTTGGCGTGAATCACAATTCGCTCTGCTTTCGGACAAAGGCAGACTGGCTAGTTGAAAAGAGGAAGATCGTCCGCTCTCCAGTTTATGACTGTAAGGAAAAATATGACGACGGCTGGAGTGATTTAGACTTTTGGCATCTTCAGATTCTATAAGCTGTAAAACTAGTCCGTCAAAAGAATAAGCCGCTTGTTTAAAAGCTGGTAATTTTAATTTTTTGTAAGCCGCTTAGGGTCAGTCAGAGTGAGTGGATGGCCATACAAACGAGTTTTAGAACCGAAGAGAAGATTACCTTTTAGCTTGGGATCTAATAATATAAAAATGCAGGAGAAGGGAAATGGGGTTGACTTGATGGCACATGCACGGTGATTTTTTTTTAGCCGTCTTGCTTTTCTAGGTGCCCTTGAACTTCAGTGACGCTTCAGTCCATTTCAACGAGGAGGAATGGAGGAACTTAGAAGAATGGCAGAGAGAGCTTTATCGAACCGTCATGAGGAGCAACTATGACATGCTGGTCTCGCTGGGTGAGGACTCCGATCTCTTGTCTATACGTCGACTTGAGTTATCCTCTGTGCCCTTTGTTGCCCAGCTTGCCTAGTTTCCTAACCACCTGTTCTCCTTTCCTGTGGTAGATAATGCCATTTCCAAGCCTGATATCCTATCCCAGATGGAACAAGGGGAGGAAGTGCGCATGGAGGATTCAGAAGTCTTGGAGAACAGGGAGGTACCTAAAGATCCCAGCTGCACAGGTGTGTTAACGGCACCGGCCGACGAAGCTTTCTAATTTCCAAACGGTCCTTTCCAGTTTATCGCTGGATCGGTTTTGGGTGGGAAGAGAAGAGCAATCCACGCCACTTCCTGGACTGCAGTTTTGCGGCTTCCTTATATCAGGGCCTGAACTTGTATTTTACTTCATTCTTTACTCTTTACTTTCCCGTCGCAGCAAACTATGGACTTAGATATGTTGGCACATCTTCTATATATAAATAAAAATGTAAATGTTCGTTTGTTCAAAATCTTAAATCTCCAAAAGTTCCTCACCGATTGCTTTGAAATTTTGACACAACTTTGCATTTGAATACGCGCGTGTTTTTATATACCTACTTTATATAGATGTCACACCTGTGACACAAACGTGCGCTTTCTCTTTCTTTTTCATTTAACCAGACTGCGCCACAGCAACACGTGGCCGGGTACAGCTAGTATGCATAATAAAAGCAAATGCCCCTTGTTCAGGAGACTACCCTGTGCTTCTGATGGAATGGGCAATTACAGACACTGAGGCTGTAATAATTTGTTAATCTGTTGCGTCCTTGGGGCTGTCCAAGTTTGGTTGTTTCTTGCAGACGTTTCATGACCCAGTTAGGTAACAGTACTAGAAGGGTATGGGAGGAGGAGCAGGAGGATTGTGGGATGCTTGGTGCTCTCTCAGCTTGGTTGTTTTCTTGCAGACATTTCTTGGCCCAACTAGGGTACATCATCAGTGCTAGAAGGGAGGGGGGGGTGCTCAATAATAATAATAATAATTATAAAGTTGGAAGGGACTTTGGAGGTTGTCTAGTCCAACCCCCTGCTCAGGCAGGAAACCCTATACCATTTCGGACAAATGGCTGTCCAGTCTCTTCTTAAAAACTTCCAGTGTTGGAGCATTCACTGCTTCTGGAGGCAGGTTGTTCCACTGGTTAATTGTTCTAACTGTCAGGAAATTCCTCCTTAATTCCAGGTTGCTTCTCTCCTTGATTAGTTTCCATCCGTTGCTTCTTGTCCTGCCTTCCGGTGCTTTGGGGAATAGCTTGACTCCCTCTTCTTTGGGGCAGCCCCTGAGATATTGGATATTGCAGTAACATGCCTTGCAGTGTTGGAAGAGGGAGGGGTTTTGCCCTTTGTACTCCCTCAATTGGGAGAAAATCGTATCCCGCACACTGGCCGGAGAAGCTATTCTATACAGGTAGTCCTCTCTTAACAACCAGTCACTTAGCAATTACGATAGACCTCTTCAGAGCTACTTCTGATTTGCTCCTGAGTGCCGATAGCTGTGCCTTCCCTGTGGTCACACGATCATATTTTGGGTACTTGGCAATCAGCTCGCATTTCTGGGAATTTGGGTGGTTTTTTTGCTAGTTTCCAGCGTTCGCTCCTGATTTCTGGCAAAAAGCGCCTGTTAAATAAAATGTGTTCAATTATTGACTGGGGCATTCGCAGCATGACGATGGTGTTCGCTTAAGAGTTGCCGCAAAAAAATCAGGAGCCACCTGCTTAACAGCCACCACAATTTGCAACTGTAATTCCAGGCTCGATTATCATCGTAAATCAAGGACTCCTCGTATAAACAGAGCAAACCCTTCCGGTACCAATGATGTTACCTAGTCAGGTAACGAAACGTCTGCAAGAAAACGAGCAAAGACCAAACAGTTCTTGGAGTCAGATATTCTCTTCTATTTGTTAATCTTGTTTGTTGTTGTTGTTTTTCCTTCTGTGTGTGTACAGCTTCCCCCGTGGATGTGGCAGAGGTTTCTTCTGGAGAGGGAGAGGTGGAGGAAGAAACTAACCCGTTTGTTGATGTAGCAGATGCTTCTTCCGGGGATGGAGAAGCCGAGGAAGAAACCAACCTGTTTGTTGATGTAGCAGATGCTTCTTCCGGAGATGGAGAAGCTGAGGAAGAAAGTAATCTGTTTGTTGAGCAAGAGAATTGCTATGAAATGAGCTTCATTGATAGTGCTGGCCTCGGTGAGTTTTGCTCCATAATATTTGCCCGCAGAGCCTCATCCATCGACCCACATCCTTTTGTGGGGCAATGTAACAAATCATAACACAAATCCACTTGCGATGTGGCAAGTTTATCCGATCCTGTCCCCAAAGTTGGCAATTTGCAGTCATGTGTTGACCTGCCAGGCGGGAAAGATCCTCGTTCAACTATGAAATTTGCTATCGGATATGACAATAGCCACCAATTTTAGTCATTTTTAAAAGATTGGAGAAATTAATGGAGGATCCAATTATTGAGGGCTGCCCGGAACCAGAGATACCATATTTTTGATAACGGCTACCAAGCAACAATAACGGAAGAAGGATGTCCTTCTTCTGTCTGCTTGCAAGCTTCCTAGAGGTGCTTGCCTTTTGCAAAATAGTTGTTAGCCTGCTCTTAGTCTTCCGGTCTTTATGTTGTTACATCTCCTTGGATTCCTGATTGGATGGAAAAAAGTGGCAACGTTTTGTCCCAAAGGTGCTTTTTTTCACGAGGCAAGTGGACTTTCTTGGTTTTTGTGGAAGATGTTTCAAGAAGCTTCTTCAGCTCTTGAGGCAACATTTTCTTTCTTTCTTGGCCAGGCAAACATGATATTTTTAACCGAGCAACGATTTATCATGTTTTAAAAATACTCGGTCTTTATCAATTTATCCACCACTTAGTCCTGCTTTTAGGTCAGAACCTTCCTAGAGGAATGACTTTGCGCCGATCTATTTTTTTTCTTAAGCATTTAGGCCAAACTGCAGTGGAGGCAGCTCTTTTAGGATCTTGAGGTAGGAAATCTAATTTCATCCCAGAATATCATAATAATTACATGATGCACATTGGTAAACTGTAAGTTATATCAAATAAAAAGGTACTGTTGTTTGATTGCTGCTTGAAAACACTTGGGGTGTCATTTTGTTTATTCTGCAAAGAATATCAGATTGTTCGACATAATATTAAGGAAGAAAAAGAAGAACTGCACATTAAAGAGGAACCATGGTCTCCTGGAAGCCCTGGCAGTGATGAATGTGAGTGTAATAATCAAGTGGAAATTTTGGGTATTCCTGGGAACCTTAATTGGGGTGGGTGGAATATTCCAAGAGTTCAAATTGCTGTCCTTTGTTACTGCCTGTTATACCCTTATGTGATTACTTTGAATGGGATTTGGCATTGTCTTCATGTTGTTCTGTTTTAAAGATGTGGAGTGGCTTGACAAGCAATGCTTTGGCATCTCGGACAATTTAATAATAATAATAATAATGATAAAGTTGGAAGGGACCTTGGAGGTCATCTAGTCCAACCCCCTGCTCAGGCAGGAAACCCTATACCATTTTGGACAAATGGCTGTCCAGTTTCTTCTTAAAAACTTCCAGTGTTGGCGCGTTCACCGCTTCTGGAGGCAGGTTATTCCACTGGTTAATTGTTCTAACTGTGAGGAAGTTTCTCCTTAGTTCTAGGTTGCTTCTCTCTTTGGTTAGTTTCCACCCGTTGCTTCTTGTCCTGCCTTCTGGCACTTTGGAGAATAGCTTGACTCCCTCTTCTTTGGGGCAGCCCCTGAGATATTGTGGAACACTGCTATCATTTAAATTGTGGCAGGGAGAAAGTGGAACCTACGAGCATTTCAAGCTACTTTGGTTTCCACTGAGAGAACTCATGGAAGACCCTCTGCCCGCTGCACTGGGGCCTGGGGAGGTGAAGCAGAGTAGAAATTTCTGATTTGCATCTCTTGTGCACAGACCCACCCGTTGCAGTCACCATTAAACAAGAAGAGGAGTTGTGCGTCGAGGATCCGGAGAGTTTGGCTTCGCTTGGTGAGTGCTGGATAATAATGGCAAAGTACAGCAATTCTTTAGCATAACCAGGCGCTAGCATAACCAGGAGTATTTAGTCCTTAATGATGTAGAGAATGAATTCCACATGGTAAGTATAGCATTTTTTTGGTTACACCTTGAAAATGTTATTCAGCCCACAAATACAGGTAGTCCTTGGGTTACGACCCCTTGTTGAGCGACTGTTTGAAGTTACGAGGCACTGAACAAGTGGTACTTGAAATTTTAGCCGTTGCAGCCTCTTGTGGTGACACAATCTCCATTTGGAAGACCACAAAGCTGGTCAGGAAGGTCACAAGTTGTACTTTTAAGTCACGCCTGCC